GGTTAGGTCCTGGGAGAGGAGCTCGGTCTCTTGTGTCTGCTTTAGTTTTTCTTATAATTGGCAAACGGTCCTTGGGAGCGATGCGAACTCACGAAGTGATTTTTTCAAACAAAGCTCGTTGCTAAGATCCCCACTTTGATCTACAGTATCCTGCTGAAGGAACGGTGATTAGTATAAAACCAAGGGGAGATTTAGTACACGGCGTCGCAATGTTCAGTAGATGATTCTGTACAGCCGAGACAATGAAATTTTAATAGGGCTGTAATATTAAAGCTTTGCTAAAATTGGACAACATTGATATCAGCGATGCAGAATCGTATACACCACGCTCTGTGGTCACAAGCTCTGCCTCTAATACTGCTACGATTCCTGAACTCCCCCGCGGTCACTGCCCTCTCAAGTTTTGTTTTCATCAGCCTGCTCTTCTTATCTGGCTATATTGGACGGTGATACAATATTTGGCTCTTACCACATAGTTCTCAGTATCGACAGGTTACGCGTGGTATCAGGGCTCATACATAGACTCTTCAGAAAATAAATCGACGTACTTTTAACCCGTAGCTTGAGTTGTAGCGTGATATGCACTGTCTTACATAGGGCTCTATTTGAGGGTTGATTGCTGCTAGATCTTATGTTGGTAGATTATCGAAAACACTAATTATAAATGATTTCCATGGTATTCTTAATCTGAGCTACGCATACTGTAAACACTGACTCCAGGTACTCATCTGAGTACCTCACTGAGAAAGTTGTGTGCACCCCTGATTATAGAAATGAAAAAGCACATTAAAAGGGGGGACTCCTTAATCCACCTAAAGTTCTAAAGTTAGAGACCATCAAACACTTTGTGGATTCTAGTGATAATTCTCATAAAAAGAATAAAGTTGGACAAAGACTCATCAGTTAATGGTGCTGTAGATCCCACATAAACCTGACATTGACGTACAATCTATATCTAGATATGGGACTTTATTTTCACAATGACGTTTGATCATGAGGTTTTACATTTTATATGTTATTCATAACACGCTTTCTCGGAATCCGGCAGTGTATTTATTTTTACATAAACAAGGAAGGGGTTGTCTAAAGCTTTTTCCAAGACTGCCTTGAAGATAGTGGGAACAAGTTACCAAGTGTCCAGACCTATGGTCCAGACTGTATAGATTGCATTAACTCCTGGCTGAGATCCAACCACCTTCACATGGGGTCTGCTACGTCCAATACTATCGCAGTACATACTCTACACTCAGGGCTATTCAATTGGCGGCCCGCGGGACAAAACCGGCCCGGGGTGATATTTACTGGCCCTTTGAGTATAATGATAAAAAGTAATGTAATTTATATTTTATTAAGATTTTTTTTTGGCCCAGAGTGCCTTTATTCCAGAGAGGGCGTTACATTCATTGAGAGATAGAGGGGAAGACATTGCCTGAAAACTTCGGCGGGCTGAAGCTCTTAATATGATTGCTCATATTTCAAGCCATCTTTTTCCCGGCCTCTTGTTTTGGATCATTTTCATCAACCGGGCCCCCATTCCAAACTAATTGAATAGTCCTGTGTCTACATTTACAGCTGGCATAACACGCTTTCCTCCTTCCAGATGTTATCCAGATACAAGGTATAATATATGTGGGTGTAAAAAGGGTCTTAGTATGGGTCAATGTAAGGTCGTAAACTTCCTACAATCCGACTCGATAGCATATTTACAAAATACCCTTCCAATTTGTTAAACACCCACGTATTATAAATGCCATAACCCCAGTTTGTTATGCATAATGTATATACGGTACTCAAAGCATAGTTAACACTGATGAAAACCTTATGGTAATCTTAGCTTCAGAAAACTTCCCCCAAAGTAGCTTCAACGGTTTTTGCAGGTTAAGGAAAATGCAAAGCATGCATAAACATGTTGGATCTAATGTTTAAACTCTAACCAATTTTCAATATTCAGGCTGGGGTGGTTGGCGGATTTGATTTTGCACATTTATAAATAAATGCAAGATAATTATCTGAGTATCTGAATGTGCTTTAATGACTGTCTTCGCAAAGTCTTTATTTGAACCGTTTGGAACCCAGAAACACACATTTGCACAGGAAAGAATGAAAGTGTAAACATTACATTTCATGTTTGGAGCTTAGGAAGAAAGGGCAAACATACCAGCTATGTTAGGCACAGTATTAAGAAGCTTCTCATCAACCTTGAGTTTCTTAACCCTCCACCTCAACGGTCTGGCTCTCTGTCTCGTGGATACTCAGTATGTGGAAATTAAATTGCCTTATAATGTTTGTGGACTCACCCACTACCCAGTAGAAGTGACCGTCTGTGTAGCAATGATATAATTACCTACATTTACCAGGGAACATAGAAATGTGGTTGTGTTTATGCCTGTGAGCCTTGTGGGCTGCCAAAATCACAAATTATTCATGTTGTGGTGTCATCTTAGTTTGGGAGGTGAGCGGTGATGAGGAGTTAGCAGAGAGCGCCTATCAGAAGCAGTTTTGTCCCTTTTCTTACCATGGCTTTTTCCTTTTCGTTGAAAGCTGCTTTGGCATCAGATTGACAATGTTGGCAGCATCAACCTCACAAGCAGGTGAAGCTTCTTTTTCTTCTCCTTCTCAACCATTGCCTCTCATTTGTCACAAACCCCACACTTCAGACAGGCATTCACTACGCTGCACTCTTGCCATGTGACTGTTTGGACAGGATTGATTCCTCAGGGCTCTTTGTTCCATTACATATTAATCCTAAATGACTTCACTCACACTTCGATTTTTATTTTAGAGTTATTATATTTACATATAACAACGTTTTTTTTTCTCATTCTGGGATAATGGCATATCGGCATATTGGCAATTTTATGTTAGAGAGCTCAAGCTGGGGTTTCTCTCCACTCTCTCCGCAGCTTGCCTCATGTCCCTTTGCCAAGTTGTTTGATATGCAAAAGGATTCAAGCAGACTTGCTCTTATCTCCGATCATTTGATGATAGCAAGAACATAATGTGTTTTCTGAGGTGAGACAGAGTGTGAGCAGTGATGTGCAGTAGGGATGATATGTATTATTACTCTTTCTACTGCTGCTGCTTATTAGATGCTGCATCATGCTGCTGTCAGGGTTTGTTTTCTCTCTCTGTTAGGGTCAGGTCAGGATGTATTATTGTTTGGTCTTTTTGAATCAGGTCATCCTTAGTTTTTGTGTCTGTGCCATTTTTGCGTTTATTTGAAAGAGGACAGTGTAGAAATGGATGAGGAAGAAAGGTATGACAGCAGAGGTCCTTAGGCTGGATTTGAACCTGTTGTTGTTTTCATTGTGGTTATATAGTGTAAACTTTAATTACTCAAATATCAAGGCGCTCCAGGTCTCCCTTTGAAATTAAAGTACGGTTGAAAGCATGTGGGTTTTCCAAAGGACCTTTATTTTGGGTACTTTAAAATGTAAAATGTGCCTATGCTATAAGCAATCAGCCTTTTGTATCCGTTCCTCCACTCAATGATTTAAATTGCTACGTACTACTCACTTTATCAGTGTGTCAGTGCACTGTTTGTGTCTGGTTATTTGTCTCTCTCCAGTGAATGATATCATTACTGCTGCCTATCTGCTATTTTCTCTAGTCTCTTGGTTTACAACTCCATTTAGCACATGCCATATGTGTTTACGTTTGTATGGTAATTCATTTGACATTGTTAAAACGTACTGGTGAGGCCATTATCTACAGACAACCATGAGTGGCAATATGTTATTACAGAGCAAAGGATTAAACTGAACAAGGACAATACATACTGTACACATAATGGTACTCTAGGAACAAATCTGTATTTTTTTAGCAAACTGCAAACGGTTGCCTTTAAACGGAAACATTTTAAAATAAATATACAATAGATACATTCTCTGTTGGGTGGACCTCATATCTTTAAACAGGGACATTGCGATCTAATGGAATTGTTGTGAGTCATAACGTTCACATTAACACATGTAACTCCATCACACAAACGCATGCTTGCGTAACATTGCATTATTTTGTAATTTCATAACAGCAATTTGCAAAAATTCATTCCCCTGGTCTGCTTCAAGAGGCAAAGTGAAATTGATTTACAACTTAATGTATGCAATACAGTCATACATCACAGGTAATGTTTCATATTAGGACAAAAACTGTGATGCTGTGACTCAAATCATTCTATTCATCTTAATAATCTACTATTTCACTTCGAACTGCTGATGCAAGGCATTAGGATGTGTGTGAGAAAGAAACGGAGAGGGAGAAAAATAAAGAGAGACAGATAGAGAGTGAGAGAATCGGTAGACCGTGGAGGTGAGAGACTGAAGGGGGGGTGCAGGGCTGCAGGATAAGGCTTGCATCTGCATATCAAAGACTTCATGCCGGGAAATGATGAGAATAAAAACTGTAATATTGCTATAAATATATAGTGTATGTACCTACTGAGTGTGATGTAGGACCATATGGGAGCAAGTCATTCAGAGGACAAAGGAATCGTTCTTTTGACAAAACACAGTGGATTTGATAAGCAGAGTGAGTCCTTTGGAGGGATGACATGCAGTATTACACGTGTTTAATTAGAGGCACGGGGAGTCAAGTATAATACTCCTGTGTGCTTAGCTTGTCTGGGTAGACTTGGAATGATGAATGGCTTGAGACAAGTGTCACTTTCAAAATGTTAAGTGAAATACATTTAATCAAGCCTGTAATATAAAGATGGAAACACACAGGCGATGCATACTAAACACATGGATACTAAACACATGGTATTAAGTTGAATAATGGATTCAGAAAGTAACTTTTCTTACTTCCCGATTTTCTTTCTTTCGCCTACACTGACTGCTGAATAGTAGTTCTGTTTGCACAAATGCTTTTTGCATTTCATTTCAGATGTACTCGGCACCTCCAAGACACATGTGTTATTTTTCCAAAGAGGCACATCAGCGGGGAAGTGCACTTCGCTTGTCGTCGGCATGTAATCAGCGAAGTATGCCTCTAACTGCAGGGAACATGATAAGTTCGACACAGTATCCATCTCGTAATTAGTATGGAAATGTATCTAGCTCCAAGGAACAGGTGCAAATTGCCCAGGTGTAAAAAAATGGGGAAAGTGAACATTTTGTTTGTCATCTGCATTTCACAGAAATCTCACAAGAGACAGAGTGTAAGTGCATCACAAAAAATAATGCAAAGTACTAGCACCAATTTTCATTCTTAGGAAGATAAATAGACACATTACCTGACCAATTTATCAGACAAAGGGGGGAAGTAGAGCTGTGGCAGTGCACTCAAAATCAATGTGTTCAGAGGGTGGAAGTAGTGCACTTCTAATTAGATATTTATTAAGTGCCTTTGACTGCAGTTACATTGAGACAGTAGGAGGGCAAACATTTAAATACACATTTATAAGTCCAATTTTATTAGGAGTCTAACAAATACAAAAAAACAAGTTCTCAAATAAAGCAACATTTTAGCCACAGTAAATGTATTAAGAAAGATCATTTATTCTGCAACATCACATCATTTGGAATATTGGTGATGTACAGAGGCCTCACCAAACAGACCCTACCAAAGTGAAACACTAAATGGAAGAAGTTATAGAACTGAACTGATGTATTACCCTCTGTTTTACTGGCTGATGTATCATTATTATTATTTCTTCTTTGACGGTGACTTTTTAGGCAAGACGTTTTGAAAACCGCAGAAGCCAGAACGTGTCTGTTAATAAACAGTTGAATTAACTGATTTATTTGTGCAGTGTGCCATGCAGTGTATGCACTTTTTCCACCCCTATAAAGATGCTTTGATCTTCGCTTTGATCACTGCTTGTCTTGTGAGTTTCGGGGCTGCCCAGTTGTTTGACGAGTTCAAACCTGTCGTGTGTATACAACCCTCCCGGAGCCCTGGCTTGAGTGCAAATCCCTTCACTGGCCGCAGTTTGATGTAACCCAGTGTGTAGAGCTGGAGTCTGGGGGCAGAAGACCCACTTGGCTCTCTTTTGCTTCAGGGCTAATGGATCAAGACTGTCGGCTTCCCCTGGTTTCAGACACTCACATTGTGCCTTTGTTTTATCTTTCAAACTGTTCCCTGTTTGTTGTATAAAGGAAAGTCCCCAACTGGTTGAGCCTCTTGAACCTTTTGGGAGCGAGAGGCTATTACTCCTTTTTACTTATTAGGCTGTAGAAGTGCCAGTCATGTGTACAAATTCTCTTAAGATGGATTTTAAGCCCCTTTTAGCTAACAGCTTTTTGCTGATCAAAGCAAGTAATCCCCCCTTAAATGCTCAGCTCTTTATGTCAGTCCTAGCTACAAAGTGTCCCACCTTACTGTGTGCAGTTCTTTATTACACACGCTCTATGCTCAGCTAAATGGTTACAGTCTCTAAAATGTATAAAAACAAGTCTGTGCGTCTCATGCAGATATTTTATTCTCTGAGAATGATCAGTGTTTATTAGCCATCTACAAATAAATCAATAGTCCATCTCAAATGTATCTTCAAAGCAAAATGCAGAATTTGTGCAAGTCTCAAGACTTCACATGGCAGACCTTCATATTAATAATAAGTTGAAAGGAAGGTATTTGTTCATGCTTTCTTTTCTGCAGATTACACTGCGAATGGAACTTTGCGGAATTATGTGAAATGACTGTTTCCGAATTATAGTACAATTCTAAAATACATGGATCTCAAAAGGTTTTATCATCAGTAACACACATTTCTAAAAGGAACAACTAAAGCTTGGGTGGATAACATTGGAAAAAACAACAACAAACCACAGGCTACAGCATATTATCAAACTCTCCTCTTAGCAGGTTCCCCTTCGCTACAACCACCTTTATACCAAAATAATTGTGTTGACTTCATTATTGTATATGTACTACTTTGTGCACTCAACATTTACTAATGATAAGTTAAGGAAAACCTTTTTCTCGTGTCTCTATGACGTGTTCTATTTTTCAATGTAAGTTGTTTACAGTGAACCACTTTTTCTTTAGAAATCCTGAATCAAAACAATAACAATACAGAGGACCTTGAAGACCTACAGCAGACACACAATCACACAGTGTTTGGCCAAGCAGAGCTATCGTGACCCATAGGGCAGAACTAATGAAAGGCATTCCATGGGCTCTTGAGAAACTCTGTATGAAAGATATATATAGTGTGTGTGTGTGTGTGTGTGTGTGTGTGTGTGTGTGTGTGTGTGTGTGTGTGTGTGTGTGTGTGTGTGTGTGTGTGTGTGTGTCTGTGTGCAATAAAATACACACAGAAAGTTGTCCGTGCGTGTTTGCCTGTATTTGTGCATAGATAGAGCCTCATCATCTCTCTGTGATTACAGGAGCATTTCACCACAAACAGCATGTGACTTATCAGAGTGAGCCAGGTTTTCAGAGCACTGACAGTTCAGGGAGAGTTGCAATGGGATAAGTCTCAATTCTCTCTCTGTCATCCCCTTCTCACTCTCTCTCTCTCTTACAAACATGCAGTTGTACACACACATCTGTGCAAACACAGATGCGGCACCCCAACGGCAAACCCTGACTACGGATTCTAAGAGCGGCTCCGCTGAGCCCTCAAGCCTTTCTATCTGTCCGAAACGTAAAACTGATAAAAGACGACCATTACTCCTCATGTCTTCAGAGACATAGGAAGATGTAAACATAAAGATGTGAAACAACAAGTCTCAGCGGAGGATCGTCAGTGTAATCTACACTAGTGGAAATAAGAAATATAGCTTTTTTTAGTTGAACAATAAAGCAAAATAATCAGAATTAGATTTAAGTAAAGCTTATAACAATATACACTTTATCAGCCAACAACAGAACTATCTATTACTTCATTCTGAACATGGGCATGCATCAGTGTAGGTGAAGATGTGTGTACTGTGTACTAGTTACCTGAAGGTCATTTGGAATATCTGTCCCAAGTTGACTTGCTGGGTTTTGTTGTTGTATCCATGCAGCATCTCACCAAACAGGGTGTCATTGAAGTGGACATCCTGTCGGGGGCACTTTGGTCCCTCACAGTTGTCTGACAGCAGGAGGCAGGAGCGCCCCTCCCCTGACAGTTTGTACTCCTGAACACACCTGAGGAGGAGGGAAAAGCTGTCTATATCTTGTATAACATGCGATGAATGTGAACATAAATATATTCAAGATAGTACAAATAAAAAATCCATCTCCAAAGGTGCCCTTTCTTTAAAGTGAGTGCACATCAATTGTGCTGATGGCAGTAAGGGAAATGTACATTGCTGCAAATTGTATTTTGTTGCAGGCTTGTTCAACCCTTTGTGTAACTTAGTCTTAAGTTAAAGAACAACTATAAATGCCATTTCACATTGTGGAGTGAGAAAAAAATACATTCTTCATTTTTCTTCATACTTAATAGCTCAATCATTACTGTACTGGGCCCATAATGGCGTAAAACTAAGTGTGTTGTGACCTGGCATGATCACTATTATTATATCTGCATGGTTATCAGTATCTCAAAACTCCTCTTGGATTTTCCTACACTACAGTTTTACTATTAGAAGTATAAATCCCCTCATAAATGACAGAAGTAATGAAATAGAAAATGTGCTGCAGTGGTGCTAACAACATTTCTGCCGTGAAATCCCACTGACAAGCATGGCACAAACAGCTTGATCCATCCTTCTTGGCGTATTACTGGTAGGAGGTAGTGTTGCGATAATGGTGTGAGAAATGATTTCTTGCCACACATTAGGAAAAAAACACAAATTGTGGGGATGCCAGTGTGACACCGCTGTTGATCAGCTTCCTGGGCCATCATTGCCACGGTATAACTGTTTTCAAATTGCAGATCCCTAGGGATTACTATCCCACATGAACCAATTTAGTCCTAGAGAAGTTGCGCAAAAAAGCTTTTCCTAGCCCTCATACAGTGTATCATCACAGTGGAACATGTGTAGGGTGAGGAAGAGGGCGTTTGAACTGTTTGGCTGAATGACGTGCAAAAAATAAGAATGATTCAGCACTCAATTTTTCATCTTGGAAAAATGGATCTTAGAACAGCAAAACTCCCTTGAAACGTTTAAAAGCAAATTATGGCTTTTAATTTGGATTAACTTTCAATTGTCACTAGTATTGTTCTGTTTTAATGTATTTTATTTATGTTTTGCTTTTATTTTACATAACATATTATCACTGTAGATGTTTTATCTTGTTCTGTATTAATTACATTATTTTAATATTGTTGTTATGTTTTCTGTAAAGCACTTTAGGCTGCTTTGTGCATGAAATGTGCTATACAAATAAAGAGAAAAATCCAAGCTTCTCAATTGTAGATTCTAAAAGTATTTGTAAAAGCCATCAGAGTTAACCAGGTAATACTACAGGGTTGACTAATTGACATTGTAAAACATTAATAGGATAAGTTATTATATTAAAAAAATGTTTATATAACATCTTGGGCAAATGTCTTTCATCACATTTGTATTTGCTGATTAAACACCCCCATTTGCATATCTCATTTCCTTCATGTGTTTATTTGCCTGAGGAAGAGTCTGATTGAAATATCACTACAAATAGATTCCATGAGCCGGCAGAAACCTTTCATTTTTTTTTTGTTAGTTATTCTCACCCGCAAAACATGAGCACGTTGCTTGAGCTAGGGTCATCTTCAAGGGGCACGAGCTGCTGGAGACACAGCTGTTCACAGCCTCCGTTGAAGCCATCCGTGCAGTCAATGCCCCTAGAGTAGTCATAGCAACCTGAGCCATCCTTCATTGGCCTCAGCCCCTCAGGACACTGCAGGAAAAGAGAGACAGGGAAAGAAGGAGAGGTGGGGGAGGGAGATGTGGCGAGAGGGTGAGAAGGAAGGCATAAATTAGGGAGAGAGAAGAAGAGAGTAAGGCGCGGAGGTCAGCATGTGCATTTTAATCAGGATGAGGCGGCACCAAGGGTGTAAAGATGGGAGGGATGAGAAATGGAGAGTGGGATATTGAGAAATTCATAGAAACATTTATGAAAGATGGCAATTATCTTATTTAATGATACAGCAAACGTTGAGGTCTTTATGTGATTAAATATAAGAAAAGCTGGAAACTGGCAGCTTGGAATCGTCCTTACAGCTTGTCTCACTACTTGAGGTCTTTGTTTGCTTATTTCATGTCAGACACAAACTCCACATGTGTTTGTCTCTCCTGGTGAGACTCCACACTGACAGGTGGAAAAGAGTGGCAGGGGCATGTTTATCAGAGGAGACATGAGTTGTCGACGCCTTCCCCAGGCCAACATGGTGAGTAAGCAATGAAAAGGAAATCAGTGTGTGGGGATTTGTCCCTATTACAATGGAGAGAAGAATGGTATCAATTCATTTGAAATGTGTTATAGAAGGAGAATAGTTATATATTATAAACATGGGCTTGCATTTGCATGCAGAGAACCTCAAATGAGGTATCAGTATCAATGAAGATCAGGCATATATTTACTGATATCACATTTAATTACTGTTTTCAGCTGCACTTCATCATTCAGTTTTAATGATTTTCAGCTTGACATTGACACCCAGCAACTCCACGCATAACACATCGCATTTACCTGAGCTGGAGAGAAATCTGAAGGGAAACAGTACGTCCAAAGTTTATATATCCTAAGTTTATGCTGCTAATTGATCGTGCAGCACTACTTTTGAGTTGTTTTTTTTTCTTGTTAATTATACTTAAACCGGCAAAATAAATACTAATTAAGCATGAATGCAAAAACAGCAGAATCATTCTATAACAAAGCTGAACTCTATTAAAATTATAATTGTGCTTGGAATTAATAACTTGTAGACTTAATAGCCTACTGTTCAGGATTATCCATATCGGATGTTAAAAAAAAAATAGATTGTTTCCCAAACAAAACAAGGAAGTTATACTTGACAAACTTTTCTGCTGGCACAGCTTTTGTTATAGAGGCATGCAAAAAGCAGTTATGGTAATATTTATTTAATATCCTCTTAAGGTGTTAGCATATGCTTTAGTGTCTTAAAGAATTAAACATGAACTGTTGTGGTAGAGACAGCAGACTCAACCTGTACAGATATGATACATTATATTTTATTGATATTGAAAAGAGCGATAGTTTCACTCAACGCTTCACCATACTAATTTAAAGATTATATTGTATGTTCGTGACAGTGTCATATTATAGGTACTTTATAGGCCTTTTAAGTACTACCGTCAAAGGTTCTCTAAAGACACGGAATAATCTGTAAACTCTTACATCTCTTAATGCATGAGAATCTTCAGACTGTTAGCGAAATATTCACTACAAAGCCTCATCAGAATTCCCACACCGAGAACAGCGGTTGTTCACATTATTACACTGATGAGATATTATGTTTCATTGCCTCTCAAAACATCGCTCTGATGTGTTATTTCTGATTTTGCCAGTTCATCCCAATAGAGGCTCGAATGTGAAACAATTATATCTGGAAGATGTGTTGATGGTGCATTAGTGTCTTAAAAGAAGGGTGCAGAGAAGCAAAATTCCACATCCAGGCGTTTTTGAAGTAGATTTCTCGCCTTGAAATAGCGTCTGGATTCACAGATTGGTAACATGCCAACACTGTGTCTGTCATGTTTTATGTTGTATCCTAATGAGGGAGACATTAGATTTCGGAAAACAGATCTTCTACGAGAGTGATATCACATTTATTTTGATGGGTTTTCTGGCACTGGAATCCAGCAATCAATTTACACCTTCAGACAGCCATATGCTGAACATGTGTCATTTTTAATAACCAACACATCACTTTTCCCAGAGCGGCAAGTGCTGCTGTAATTCCTGTTTTGTGATGTGTTTATGTGATGGTTTTCTGGATTCAAAATGTAAGATACTCTTAAATTACATGGCAGTTTGCAGAACAGTGTTCACCACTTTCACTGACGGCCGCTGTGACTCATCTGCGAGTTTGTGTGCTATTTGTTTTCTGCGTGGGATTGATTGTGGGTGTGTGAGGCATGATGACACAAAAATGATAGGTGTTTGTGTATTTCAGCTATTTGCAAAAAAAATAAAGTAGGCCTGCCATTGCCCAAGGTTAACAAGTGTGCTGCATTTGAAATGTTCTGAGCTACTGTGCTATTCTGTGAGCAGAAATATCAATCAGGAAACACAAAAATAGGTTTTGAGACTGACTGACACTGATAAGAGAGTCTTATACCCTGAGGTAGCTCTTGCAGCTCTTCAGGGTATAAGGTTCAACGGGTAAGGGGGGACATTATAGGGAGGGGGTGTATGTCATTGATAGTTCAGTAACATCTTTGTATGTGAACATTTAAGCCTTCTGGGCAGAGGTATTGGACATCTCACTTTTATCTCCCACAGTGGTATAGATTTATAGTGTACACAAACCCTAAATAAGACACCCAATCTGTTGTAGGCTTTACATTTACAGATTGTCAATACATATGCAGTACATGTCACCATAGCCCCAAGCTTTTATGAGGTAACTTAAGGTCAGTGATTAACAGTTTAATCAGTTGTTGTCACATGTCATAAACACCACTGAAATATAGTTGGACCTCCACTCTAATAACTAATGTTAACCTCTTTTACCCCCACTGTGCCAGAGAACATTTAATAAGATGTGGCGATTATGTCTTCCTACCCTCCAGCATTGTTGTGACAGTCCAGACTGGACACAATTCAAATAATTTTCATACATTATAACTAACTGACGGATCAAAAATGTTCCTGAGACCAGTAGTAAACAAGATTTCCCAGGTAAGAAACCATGGGTCACAAAAGCAATTAAAGGCTCATATGGTGGGTTTTAATAACAGTTATGTAATGCAGTACAGGGAAATTAAGTCAGAAATGAGAGGAGGCAAATGAGATACAAAAGAGGATTGGGCAAGAGCTTTCCAATTTGAAATATATTAAAAGAACATGAATTTTATTACTGAGGCCAGGACAAGAGAAATAGGGATGTCAGCCTGAATGTCAGTTCTAGTAAACAGCTAGCTGTTTCACTTAACACTTTAAAGCTGCAGGAGTTAAGTGGGAATACATTTTTTGTAGTGTTTTAAACACTGGGAAAACACTTTTCTGCCTGATTCATTGTAGGAAGAGCTCTAGGCTTGATAACATCTGTTTCTGGGTGCTTGGAACGTGTAGAGAATGATTCCCCATTGTTTTTCCCATTGTTTTTTTTGTAAAATCTCATGAGCAACAACATATCAAACTGGAAAGCCTAACATTGCTAAATGTGAAACCTCCAAAGTCTTGAATCATGAATGCCCTCAGAGCAGCAGCTGCTCTCCAGTTATCAAGGCCTTTACAAAAAATCTCAAGCATGCAGACAGGGGACAAACTGGAGAGATAACAGGTGAGCTGAGGATTATGCGTTTTGACATTTGGAAGACCTTCACTTACACTCATGTCAGGCCTGAACGTACAGTATAGGCTTATATTTATTTTTCCAACCATATTTTTCTCTCTATTTTATAGACTAAAATTACAAAAGCAGTTATTGGATATATCCTGATTCAGTTGTTAGCTTAGTCAAATGAGGGGTGACAGTTATTGGACTGGTTAATGTTATCAAAAGCTATTGCCCAAAAGCTATTTGATGATCCACACGGTGATATGCAATCCACCAGTAGTGACTAAAAGTAATTAAGGGGTTATTTTCCTTTAATTATGATAATTATCTCTCTCAGAACTGCTACATTATGCTATCATTTCCAGATCGCTATCTAATGAGATTGAATGATGGCTGATGGTTTTCACACAAAGGCTACACATGAATCCTGAAACAAGGTTACATCAGCTCTTTCTAGGCAGTAGAAAACGCATTTTAAACAATACAAAACAACATACAGTATGTGCTATAAACGTTGTATTGTACATTGTTCACATGTGTGAAATTGATAAAATCCCATGTGTTAGAAACATTTAATGGAAAAGCTCTCTCGTCTCAAATCCATTGATTGTATTGCATGAAAGTGATGCTAACTTCCTCACCAGAACGGAATTGGAGCCATTCATCACACTGAGCAGAGAGCAGTGGGAATAGCTGCCTGTAATTCAGAATTGTCATGCATCACTCTACGGTTGACTGAAAAGGACTTAAGGTTAGCCATTAGCGCTGGCCGCTAGCTACTTGCTCTTTCTGCTCCAACCACTCTCCAGACAAAAGGGCTTGGGGCGGTGGAGTATTTGAATTCCAGATACATTCTTTCAGTCAGACCTTGGATACTGATGCAAAGGCAGAGAGATCCTTTAGACACTTTTGAACAACACGGAAACAACTTTATTGACTTATAAGTTGTTACTATAATTACTTGAGAATACATTAAAATGTAATTATATTCTGGCAGTATAGTAATGACTCATTATTGAATATGTTAAATAGAAGAGGCATTAGAAGTGTGGCTGTGTGTGTATTTATGTACACATTTGAAAAATAAATATAATATATTAAAGTATAAGGATAAATGTGATGGTTTAGATGTTTACATTTGATCTTCTCTCTCTTTTACACCTGTGTGTCTGCTTTACATATACCATTAAGGGTTGAATGTGTATGAAATCTCTGGGGGGCAAAATATAAATTAGATTTTGATGACACCATTAAGTAGTGGAGCGGTGGTATTTAACTTCTGTATATGGGATTTAAATGATAAGGCATGTTTGAAGACATTGAAGAAAAATGAAATAAAGTAAGTATGCATGAAATATGACTGCACATGTATCTTCTTGCACATTAAATACTGCACATATATCACATAAATGGCAGTTCACACATTCTGAAT